GTTGTTTTTATGTTTTTAAAAAATGCTAGTTGCTGCACACTGGATTGTTAGAAATCTATTCCATGTACTGAATACATTACCAGATAATTACGGCTAACAACTAAAATGTTATTCCAAATTTTGCCTCATTTATCTCCTTTTTATGTCTTTAAATGAAAATGTAACTATTGCATTTTTTTAATTCCCATAATCCCCTCAAGGATGCAGGCTTTCTTAGGTGCTGCGTAGAAATGTATAAGCTGAAAGGAAAAAAAAAAAGGACATCTGTGGTGCACAGATGGAGCAAAAACTTATCCACAGAATAAGCAATATGACCAAAAAAAAAAAATAGTAGGCAGTGGCAAAACTAGACACTCTTACCTTTTAAGGAGCTCATTCCTTCCTCCTGTAATAGTGCAGTTAAGTGAAGTTTTACATTATGAGCCATACTGGGAATTAATATAATTGAACAAAACCATCCTGACCAACCTGTGCCTTTTTTTGGTTGGGGGGTGGGGGGTGGGGTGGGGCGTTTTGTTTTTTACATGAAAAGGTGAGGATGGGGCTTTTAAAACCTGGTTAAATAACAGCACCACAGGATGTGAAACCACTGGCTCATAAATTGTAACTGCTTCAAGCACTGGTTGAGAGAGATCATGTGTCATAAGATTGCCCAACATCTGGCTGAGAATTCTTACTAGCAAAGCATTTAATCACATGCTTGACTTAAAATGCATACATTACTACCATTGTTGAATAGGTATGTAATTCCTTTTTGAGACTAATGGCAACATATAGCTTGGGCTGCTTGAATCTACAGAAGTAAAAAAAAAAAGGTAAAAAAACTCTGTGATGTCTTAGTACAGCTGGACACTGCTGAACCCCTCCTGGGGTATGGCTGCAGCATAAGTGAAGGCTGGATTCTAACAGCTCATTCCCTTTGGTGGTTTTTATTTGTTACCTTGAAGTTGTGGCTGTTTTCCCTTTTATTGAGAAGAGGGTACCCTGGAGATGTGTGTGTGCTAGAAATTTAAATAGAATATCCTATGAGGATATCTTGCATTGTAAGAGGCTCAGTGTTTCTCCATCTCTGCAGTTCCTCACTACTGCTAAGTCTGGGTATAAGTGGCAGTTAAATCTAGAATTCTTCAAATGATGAAATGCAGTTGTAACTCTAGGGAAGCATTTAAAAGAGCACCTTTCTTTTAAAGGCCATTAGCAATACAGTTAAAGATAATGTTTTGAATATTAAAGAAAGACGTATTTAAAAGTGGTTTTGGTGTTTCAGAAGGTGCTTGCTACTGAAATGGTGGTTCAAAACATTAAAAGTCAATTACAAGTCAATATGATGTGTGAGAATGAGTTGGCCTCAGCTCCTGTAGCGAAGCAGCTATCTTCATTCTGAACCTTGCTAGCTAAGCAAGGGCATTTATTCAAGAAATAATGTTCTCACAGCAAAAATAGGAATGTACTGCTTGCTGTTTAGCAGCTAATTAAACATTTTTATGTGCAGCAGATGCTGTATGGCGTCAAACCCTCCCAACCTTTAAACTGTTTGTCATGCTGCCAGTGGATTGGTCTTTCCCTTTACAGGTGTTACTTTACTGCAGAGTGTGCCTGTAATCTGAACTGGCCATGTTTGTCTTGCGTGGCTGAAATACCCATTGCATATCTCGATTTGGCTTTATGAACTTTCTTTGTGTATAGCAATATAATGGGTCATTTCTTGCTCTTTGGAGAGAGTTTCACAAATCCCAGTTTAATAGTTCCTAGTTTACTCCATCTGTTGATACATTGCCAGTATTCAAGTCTGTGCAGTAAATCTCTGAGACGTAGGAAAGTCCTTCCTCATCATCCATATAGGCTGAAATCTTAAACTGTATTCTGTTCTGTAAATCATTTATCTCTATACTTTTTTTAAAAAGTGGCCTACCTTTCCCCTTGAGGCCATTGGTCTTGAATGTATTTATTTTTTTGGCAGAGAGCCATGAATGAATCATAGCCTAGAGCAGCTTACAGTCTGAACTCCTCTCTATTGTTAATATAAAATACTTTATGCAGTTGTTACAACGTTTTGCTATGTAAAACTTTTAAGAGAAGAGAGATTGATTTCAGACTTGTTAGCTGCCTTTGAAGTTCCTCAACAGTATGTGGAAATGATTTCTTATGGTCATACAGCTGTAATCCACTAAAATACTAGTGATTGTTGCACGGGAAGTTAGTACATGGGAATATGTTACTAACTCTTTGTCGTAATGAGGTGTGTTTGTTCTTTCATGAAAAATAGTCACTTTAGCTTTTCATTCCACTTGTAAGTTTCCTGTTTATACCTTCCCGCTCCATTTCCATACTGCTTTATTGTTTCTCTTCTTGACTTAATTCTCAAGTCTTTCGTTCTGTTCTTCAGACATCCTTCTGTTCTGGTTTGGCTGTTCCACCATGGATATTGTTTCATGCTCCATGCCCTTTTTTCTCTGTGTAACAGTGCTTTCATTAAAGGCAACCAGGCAGATGATTTACTCCTTGATGTCTTAAAAGTCTTCTTTGTAATGAACAGCCTGGACCCAATCAAAGTATTAAGGATTTCCGTAGGTGAGTCAGCACCATGGGCCTAGCTGGCTCTGAGATCGACAGTGCCAGTGAGGTATGTAACTCTATCTCATGCTTCAGAGGGAATAAACTAGGTGACAGGATGAATGGGAAATCAAAATTTGACTGGACACATAACTGTAGATTCTGGTTTCCACTTCTCTTTACAGTCCTTAATCTCAGTATTGTGTCCCTTTATTAACTTGCCTACCGTTGTGAGCAACCCATTTGGCTAGCAGTATGGTGTTTGGCTGCTCCTAGACTTCAAGGTTTGAGGAGTGCATAAAACTGTACCACACAGGATGCTGACTTCCTCCATCAACATGTGTAAGATGTGTTCTTTATCACTTGCTCATTTCCCGTTTTTCCAAGTATTTGAGTATTGAGTTCCTCCAGGTGGCTGGCTATATGACTGTTCAAATACCAGCTATATTGAATGCACCTGACTTTGTTTCAACTGCAGAGACTGTATTTCTCACCTGTGCTTCAGCGAGGTTTCTCTTTAGATTTGGTTGACCTTCAATGTCAGTGAATTTGACTAACAGATGGAGAGTAACAGCTGCAACCTTATAAACAAGGTGCCTCTAGGTAGCATACAGCTAAACAAGTGTGATTCCTTTCTATTAGAGAGCTGGACTTTATAGTATCCCATAGCTTCCTGATTTTTGCAACAAACATCTTTGCCAAATTGGGAAGATACAGAGGGATATAGAAGCCAGTATTCCTGGGTGGCTTAGGGAACTGAACGGTAAGGTCCATGTTCTTTAAATTGAATGAGGAGGTAATGCTAGAGCCTGTTCCAACTTGGGAAACTTTGGAATAAACATAGCACTTGGTGAGTGTCCAGTAGAGGGGGATCCAAGCAGGGTTGTGACTCATGCCTTTTCCCAGCAATTAATTTAAAAATAGAATTGAAATTGAAATATGCTTTGAAGGTCAGAATGTCAGGTCACTGTGTGTGTGATAGTTTTTCATGGGTAAGGTGTTGACAGAGGACAAAGCATTCTTCATTTTCAAATTCACTTCTGCTGGCCATATATTCTGAATGTGTAGAAAATGAATTGTCTTTGTGTTACCTACTGCAGGAAGAAGAGACATTACCTTTGTATAGATATCTTCTGGTATATTTTTTGTTTGAGTGAACAGCTGCTCTGTCACTTTTGATACTATGATTTCATAAAATTTTGCAGTGACCTTATTTACCTGTTTTTCTAGATAAAAATCTACAGCACAGTTGCTAACTGATCCTGAACTTAATGGCTACTTTAGGGAGAGGCTGTAATCATTTTACTCTTGCATGTTTTAACCTCTTACTCAGACTTGTTAAATCAGAAACGTTAACAAATGGATTAAGTTTTTGTACATGAACAGGAAGCTTCAGACTATACGTTCTGAAATTATTCATGAGAACTCCAAATGTTTCAGTTACATCTTTAGTCTAAGAACTTACATGGCATTTTTGCCTTCAGAATCCAGTGTTCTGCCAAAACCTTTTCATTAATGGTGGATGGCTATTTTGACAGTTATGCACATTTTTTTTTTTCTGAGAAAATGGAGGTCATGCAGCTGCAAAGACCGATATTCTGATCTGACTGAAACTTCATGCAAGTGTAATGGCTATAGAGGGTTCTTCCTGGTTTTAAATTTGAATAGAATGTGATTCTTAGGAGTTTGCAACCATAAGGGACTGTCTTTAAAAAAAAAAAAAGTCATAACCATCTGTCTTTTGGTTCCTTCACTTGCCTTTGTTGTACTGTAAGACCTTCTTTGAAAGACTTGAGCCTGATGTTTAAGATACCTCCCCTACTCAATTAACCAAGCTAAGTAAATAGCTTAGTTAAATATCTCATTTTGGCTTTATTGAATTAATTTGTATTACTTCTTTTACATGGAATCTATCTAGCTTTATGGTATACTTGGTAAATTTGAAAGGTTGTTTTCCCACACAGTGGATTATTTTTTTTAATCTCTGCCTCCTGCCAAAGTTTCTCCAGACCTCCTATTTTAAAATCAGTAGTGAAGCATGAGAAGGGGGCATTCAGTGGTTGGCTTGTGTTTGTTTTTTGTTTTTTGGTTTTTTTGGGGGTGTGGGGGGGCAGGAGGGTGGTGGTTTTGTTTTTTTCTTTTAACATTGCTATCCTCAAGTTGTCTTCCTCCTGTGCAGTGATGAAATGTCTGGCTCACTCCCTGTACAAGACAATAGTGAGATCCAAGAAGTTAGTAGCTTCTTAGAATGCTTCAAGAAGTGGTGCAGGAGAGGGGGAAAGCTGATACAAAGCAGCCTGCCAATGCCTGTCTCATGATGCTGTCTTAGTCATAGTGCTTCAGCTTTACAGTCTGGGGCAAGGCTTTTTAAAACCAAATTATTTTCAATAAAATCTAGCCAGCCTCTTGTTTTCTTTCTTTTTTTTTTTTTTTAATTGTCTCCCAAGTCTGGTATTGGGGCTTACATCCTAGATGATGAGATTGTGCACATTCTGCACACTCACAGCTAACTCTGACCCTGCATCCTTGGATTAGAAAATTGCCAAGTAGAAGACTGAGTCAGTAGCAGTTTGATATTGGAAGGTGAGTTTGTACAGACAACAGTAGATGATGAAACTACATCACTGGGCTTTAACTTCTTACAAAATTAAGTGGATTATATTTAAAGGTTGTACTTGCATAGATGCTGTTAAGCAAAGCATCTGTTTTCTTCTGCTTTACTTTTATTTAAAGAATGTATCTTCTCTGTTCCTTGTCTAGTTTATTTGTGACTAATTTCAGCAGGATTCTCTTCCTAATATAAAATTGAAAATGATTGTGTTATTTGTATTGAAAACAACAGAAGAAAACCCAGAACCCCAACCCCTTCTGCCCTTCTGAGTTCATGACTAAAATGATGGCTGTCCGATGTTCCACTTGTATTAGTGCAGCTGCCCATGTGGTACCTTCCAGCCCTGTTCCCATCCCCAATAAACCCAGGGACTGCAGGCAGCAAGGCTGTGGGCTGGGGTCGCCTGTAGCCTCCTGCAAGCCATTCTGAAATCACAGTGGTAAGGGCACATCTGGAAACCTGAGGTGAAAGCCCACTTGTTCTGGTGAGATAATTGATCTTCGTCTAGAAATTGCTAGCTTGATTCTTCCAGTGTTGATTCCCCAATGCATCTTTGAGCTGATAGGTGGGGATATTCAGAAGGGCTTTACACAGTCTTTTGGTGTCCAGTTCCTTTAGGCAGGCGTGTTACTTTTGTCCAGTGACCTACTGCTGGTGTCTTTGGTTTAGAAGAAATTCTGGTGACTAAACAACCTTTTCTTATAGCCTTGAAATGTATGTAAATTATGTAGCTTACAGTGAGTTAGAATGTAAACTATTAAAAAAATTTCTCATCTAATTGTGAACTTCGATCTGTTCTGGATTTTAATGATCCCAGTTGCACTAAAGTTTCTCTTGTCCTATGTAAAAGTTAGGATACAAATCTCTTAAGGAGTTAAATCTATTACATGTATGTGTTTATTGCACAGGAGGAAGGGCAGAATCAGAAAAGTGTATAATAAATAGATTACTCTGAATATTTACCTACATCTGTGTATCACTGATTATACTGACCTTTCTTTTACACTGAGTTTGCTATCCAGAGTTTTGCTGTGAACCAGTTGTGGTCATTTTATTGGTGTTTAACAAAACTTTAACAAATTAAACCCAGTGGGTTATGGCCAAAGGGTGCTTTTAATTTGCTAATCTGACATGCCTTTTTTTTTTTTTTTTTTTTTTTGCTCAGCTATCTTGTCTGTCTTCATCTTATGGGAACCTCCATAGGGTGGAATCTTCCTCTTCTCTAGAACAAAGCAAGTAAACAGTACCTGTGGTTAAATGTTCTGAAAGAACAGAGTTAGTGGTATTCATATTTCTGTTTGAGTCTGAAAGTATCTCATTGTTTGCTTGAAGATTATGCTGCTGTTATGACCCTGCTCCAACTGAAATTATACTGTCTCTTTTAATCTTCCTTTGGATGATGGGGCAGACAATTATGAAGAGGGCAAGCTTTGTCTTGAAGCAGGTAATAAATAACCATCTCCATCAACTTACAGTTTGGATCAACTTGTCTGTCTGGAATTACTGCAATTTAACACATTATGGTCTAATGAAATAATAAACAATCTTCAAAAAAATTTAAAGTGTCTTTTAAAATCTTATGTGCTGCAGTGTTTTGAATTTGGGTGTGTTTTTATATAAGGTAGCTTTGAGGTGCAGTGCAAACGAATCTAGATTTTTGCAGGGAAGAGTTTTAGATTCAGAGTTTAGCAGTGTTAACATTGAAGAAAAGATGTTTGCTTGTGAGGCTATGCAATTTGTTTGTGATAAAATGTATTTTGAGATACAATTTTAAAAGCTGCTGTCATTTGGTGTAAAATTAACCTATTTTATTAAAAGATGGTGTGGATAGATGGAGGCATGCATTGTAATCGTACTGACAGATATTGTGAAGCAATGACTTGCCTTATTAAGCCTGTGACAAATAACGGTGTTTTGTGATAGCTTTGGAAAAAGTGTTTGCTTTTGGCACGAACTTAATCATCTTTGTGCAGAGGTTAGTATATCTTGGGCTTCTCTTCAGACTTAAGGTAACTTCATGTGTTCCTGTCTGTTGTAACTGAAGTATCTGAATTGCTGTTGTTTGAAAAACAAAAGTGAGGTTGCAGTAAGAAATTGGAAGAACTCCGATTAAATTCCTCTTTTGCATGCAGTGAATGCCAGCTGGGCATCCTTAGATGGGCACCTAAAGAAAAAAGAACCATCTTTGTAGCTTTACACTTGCTGTGTGTTGCTTCAGTCAAAAAATACGTGTGCCCCCTGCTGCTAGCCTTACAAGCTGAAATCACTTGAAAATAGTTTAACAAAACAGGTTTGAGTCCCTTTCCACATTGAGTATCCATGTCTAGTTAAGACTGAAGTCTTTCACAATACTAAGGCATATCCCTGCTGTGGCCCACATGTAGGGAGATACTTGCCCAAGGCATTTTTAACCAACTGTTATTATAGTGGAAATGTTTTATTTTCTTAGTTTGTCATGGAACAGATGTCAGGCTTAATTTCAATAATAATTACAAGATTAATGGTTGAGTAGGGTCTGCAGAACTAGGCCGTCAGATCTCCCTGTAGGCTGCAACTCCAATTGATATAACCCCCCCCCATTGCCCCCCCCCCCCCTTGGGTCCTTTCCCTCTGCTATATTTAAAATAAAAAATAAAAAAATAATTAAAAAAATCTTAAACCAAGTTGTGCAACAGTGGTCACTGTTCAAAGAAATTTCTCAAAATGTACCCAGAAATGACCTAGCAACTTTTGTTGCTCGTGAAATACTGGTGTCTTTCCGTGAAACTGCGTGAACACATTGTTCTGCAACGTGTTCAGTGAGCCCAGGGGACGTGGGCTGTTACACCAATTCAGGGTAGCAAATCTTTGCTTGACAGGCATCCTCCACCGCGGAAAAGTTAGGAGATGCTGCTGATACTGCTACAGCCAAGATGCAGAGTCATTCACAATCCTGGCTCCTTCATGGCAGTGGTTAAAGCTTCTTCTGTTGCATTGGCTATATTGTATGGAGAACGTCACTAATTTTTCAGTGATTACTATACATTTCAAACAGGAGTGGCAACTGGAGTCTGTCCCAGGATTTGAATCATACCTTGGGTGCTCTGCCTGGGTGCCTGAGTTTGGGCTGAAGCACTGCTTCTGTTTTAGTTCAGGTACAAACCTCCAACTGTCTCGGTCAGGTTTTGTGTTTCAACAAAGTATGTTTTTGCTGGTATCTGAGTCAGCAAAGAGCCTTTGATATCATTCAGTTATAAAGTACGTGCAAAATGGAAAACAAATTTTAACACTTAAGCAAACCAAAATATGGTTCATCAAACGAGATTGTTTTTGCTTTACTAATTTGTGAATTTGCCTTTTGAACAACTTGGCTAAGCATTGAAATGTGTTGAGTTCAGCAGCTTCAACAAGGTTTTCTTATGGTATGTTAACTGTTAAGATTTGTTTTCAAAGATTTCCAACATTTGACAACTTGCACTTAATTCTTTGTTTGTTTGTTTGTTTGTTTTAACAAGCGTTGACACCTAATTTTAGTGGGGAAGTCTGTCTGTACTAGCAGTGTTTGTACGGGAATGCACAGGGTCATCGTTCCCAGAAAGCTGGTGTTCCCTCAGACTCTTAGAACAGGATATTTATTAAACATCTAAAAACTTTTGCTGGGAGCTGTAATAGCATATCCAAAGGATCAAAAGCTGTTTTGACCTCTCCTTTTTCAAGCTCCTCCTTGTCCCAGGAGCTCTATCTCTTTGTTTAAAGAAACCCTTCCAACCTCTTCCCCTCCAGCAGTTGTAAACAGGAGTGGCATACTTTTTTCTGGAAGATACATATTAAAAAGGTTTGTAATTAGTGTGCAGCAATCCATTCTCATGATATGTACCAATGTCTGTTTCAGATTTCGTTTTGTTTTCCGTATGTCATTGTATTTTTCTTGTCAGGTATTTTTATTTTTTTTCTCAAATAATTTTTACATTACTATTTTGACTGCCATTTTTCCAAATACTAAATCAGCAAACTCCTGTTCTGCTTGCTGGTAATGAAAATATTTTCCAGTAGTCTATTAATAAAATATCAACTTTTAAAAAATATAAATATTACCATATATTGTTGTAAGTGTCACAGATGAAGAGTTTAAGAAATGTATAAAATAATCGTTATGGTTGTTATTACACTATATGCCTTTCAGTTTTTTAGCAACTGAAATCTTTCTATTAGATATACTGAGTGTGTTGAGTCTAAATCTGGGTTTCATTTAGTGTTTGGAATGCATTTTTGGCTAGCTTTTGATGGCCTTGAGATCTCATGACCTGTCCTTGCAAGGATATGAAAATATATCAGTATCGGTTATTCTTGCATGATTTTGATAGCTTGTTTGGGGGGTTTTGTTTTTGTTTTGTTTTTTTTTAAATTGGAACTGGACAGCACAGACCCTTCATGGACTCTGAATCTTTCAAGGAATCAAAATGCAGGGTGTGTGGGTTCATCCCTGACCGTTCCCTTCCATGCAGCCTCCCACACCACTTGGCTGGGCTGCTGCTTTGGCTGCACCTCTGGGTAAATGTGGGAGCTGCGCTCCCTCCACTCTTTCGTACATAAATCCCAGTTTCAGCATCTAAAATAAACCTTGCTGTGTCTTGGTACTTTTTTCCTTTGAGAAAACTCAGACAGTTGTGCTGCCACTATATGCTTCTGCATTTATTATTTTAGCGTATATGTCTGTCACATCGAGAGGAGGAGGAGCTGAACAGGACAAATACCATGAGCAGAATTGTCCCGAGACACTTTGTATTTCTGTTGCCCTGTGCTCTTTTCGGGTTCCACCACAAATCTGCACTCTAAGGTTTTTTTGTGGTGGGGCTCAAGTTGATTTGTTGTCCCTTTCTTTCCCTTTGCGATGGATTCCAGGAGCTGCCTGAAGCAACCTCAGCTCCCTGCGGCATTTGTAAAGGTAAAATAGAGCATTATGGCACCTGATTCTCCAGAAGATGACTGATGTTCGATGTGGACAACAGCACACGAGTACACTGCTTTCCCCTATCTCCTCTTGCTCTGTAATTAATTTATGCAAGCTAAAATGCTGGTTGCAGAAAACAGCATTACCGAGTTCTTCAGGGTACATTGGTAAAGTCTTAGCTCAGCTTTGGAGAAGTGGTTCTTTTATATGTACAAGCTGTCTGACAGTTTAATTTCATGAAATTACTCGAAACGGGCAAAGCGTTCTAGCGAGACATGCTCCTCCGTTTCTTGAGTCTTGAAAATGTCAAACCTGGAACGAAGGCTGCTGCAGAGCAATGGGAATGACTGAGGACGTGCTGGTATTCAGGTGGCAGGGAGGCGCTGGGACTGCTGGAGCAGGTGCGATCTTTGTCGCAGTAATCCGGTTCTGAGGGACTGGATCATCCTGCGTACTAGCAAACTTTCAGATGTTTTGTAACTGGAGCGGGGAGCTCGCGCTCTGGAAATGGAAGTGCGGGAGTGCTCTTTGTTGACTGGCGTGATCGCTCAGCTCTAGTTTCACAGAAGTCTGACTTTCGGCAATTTCCTCAGACGGCTGCGTGAGTCATATCAAATGCAAGAAGGGATTCGTTCTGTAAGAATATTTGCTCGAGGAGTACCAGCAGCAAACAGAAAATAAAGGCAATGCTTCATCTGTGCAGACCTCGGGTCTTCGACTTGCACTGAGCACGCGGACGTAGGCTCCCTGGTCCTCCCGCCTGCCTGCGGTACGCTGCCCTGGGCTCGACAAGCTCGCTTTTTGGGACTGGGGCCGGGTGTGGCTGTGTGTGCGGCTGTTAATGCCGTC